AAAGGTGACTTCAACAATTTACAATATTTAACATCCACTTTACTTAACTATGCAAATTCTGATCCCTATTGTAGCCATTAAGTCGAGGTCTAACTGTATATAGCTGGTATGTATACCTATGGAACAGCAATTAATTTGACAAGCGTTCTGCCTTGTTTATAGTTAATATTAATCAGAATTCATCAATTCAATCAATACTCTTTTTTAACCTGACTTTGCTGCTTTTTGAAGTGTGGCCTCTATTCACTACATGTAACAACGGAGCTTGTACAGGAAATTATTGTGTTTGTTTATCATCTTTTTTCAGCCTAATATTCATGGACATATCAGTTTAAATTTAAGATTGTGTTTTTTCCAAAAAATATGGGCAAGACAGAGAAGAATAAATGAGGGAGGAAGTAACGTTGATCGATGTCCTAGTATTCCATAATTTACTTAGCCACATTTTAATTGGAAAAATATGAATTTTGGTTTCAATGCAGATTTTATTTTTAACATTTTCTGAATCTTTTGGTTATTTCCTTCTAATACCTTTGAAGGTTTTTAGGTAAACACCAAATGTGGCATGATATTCCTTCTTTATTATAGCATTTCCAGCATTTTTGTATTGTATAATTTGTCCATTTGTTAATCATGGAAGGGAATTATACACCATCTATAAAACATTTTGTATGTACTGTATACTTCAAACTGTAGCTTGGAGTGAATTTTATTGAATTTTTTAATAGATCTTCACATTGTTTTAATGTAATTGCTTCTTTTAAGTTTTGCATCCATTTTATCATGCAGTTTTAAATTTGTTCTATAGCCATGTATTTCCATAACAACTTATAGATGTGTCCCTTCATTTTTTTTCCTTTTGTTTCTTTGTACTGTAGATATACATGAAGTTCATTGAATAAGCCAGATCCTTCTAAAATTGATATTTTGCTATTTGGAATTTTTTATTCATTCTCCTATCTATGATAAACAACTTGCTTCATAATGATTTCACATTAGGGAAAGCAGGTCCATCATTTTCTTTTGAGTCTTGGAAAATTTTGATTCTTAAATTCATTTTTTCCCCATTCCATATGAATCTGTTTATTGTTCTTTGTCAATCTTGCAAACTTTTTCTGAAATTGGAATTGGAATTTAAATAATATATTCATTTTTATTGGGCAAGAAAGTTTTTCCACTTTCCAAGTTCTTTTTTATATTTTTACATAATTTGCTGCAATTGCTTTGAAATATCCTATCAAAGTCCAACGTGTTTCATTGGATTTTTATTGTTTTACAATTAGACATCAGGAAGGGCATCCATCCAGTAAATGTTCAAGTCCATTCAGTCACCCCTCCCCACCATCTGACTCCACTCCGAATAAAGGGATTAAAATGTAGTAAAAAAGAAAAACAATCTTTTTTCAACAATTATTCTTCAGAAGGAAATGTCTTGTTATTATCCTTGTTTTGTGTTTGTTAATTTTGCATCCAATTGTTTAAATTATTTTTCATCAAGTCTCTCACAGAGAGATTTTGCATTATTGCTAGAACTTCTTGGTCTGCATAGCATTTTATTCTGGACTCCTGTCCTATTAATCCCAGTTATTTGTTTGCATTTTTGGATCTTATTTGCCAAGCCTGCCAGAGTAACTACTGAGAGTTAGCACTCTTGCTTATGCCTTCATTTATTGAAAAATTTGTAGACAGCAGTCAGTTTGTTCTCATTTTGCTATTGATATACACACTTTATCCAAGTTTTGTCTTTTCTCCTAGGTTCATTTTGTTAAATACCTCTAATAGGAAAGTCCATTTCAAATTTTTGATATATTCTCTGTGTCTAAGAATAGTATTACCTACTTTTATTTCTTACTAATGTATTCTTACGCATTTATTAAATCTAATGTTGTCTCTCAGCTTTCTCTTTTCAACGCAACCAGTTCAATTTGCATGTATGATTTTGGACATGTGCTTCTGCATGGATTCAGCTAATACTGTGCTAAATATCTTGTGAGCTTCATTTAATTTAAAAAAAATGTTTTTTGTACGATTGAGGATTTGAAGAAACCTCAGTCATACAAACTAATTTTTCATTATGATTCTTTAACTAATTTCCTTTTTTTAAAATCAGTTATATATGCTTCTTCCTATCCTTTGGTATTGTTTTTGTTACTTGAGTTTCATTTACTGTCCTCAATAGCAGTTGTAATATTTTGTAACCTTTTGTAATATTGAGCTATCAGTTCATCTGGATGTAATGCCTTTCAAATTTTAATTTTCTTTATTGCTTCTTTAATGTCCTGAATTGTAATGGTTTAGGTAGTATTTGTCTACCTAAACCATTACAGGTTTTTTTAAAAAAAAATATGTCTTCAATACTGTATATATTTTGAAACCTTCTTCATTAATTTTAAACTTAAAGTTTAATTCTTTGAAAAATTCTGTAGTTCTTCTTTAACAACCCTTCTTTCTTTTTCTTTTATAATTTAATGTACCAAATGTTCCCCTGGTTTGTTTAAATTCATGAAGTGATTTTGTTTGACATATGCTATCTATTTTTGGAATTTTTCCATTTCTAAAATGTCTATTTGTTGTTTGACAGTTTGGATTGGTTTGTGAATTTGTTTTACTTCCTTTATTTTTTCTTCAAGTTGTAATTTCTATCTGTTAAATTGTTTTTCTACTTTGCTACAAATCTTATCTTCTTCCCTATGGTTCTCTTTGACATTTCTGGAGTTGTATTTCGTTTGAAAAACATGTTAGTTTGAAAAAAAAAACATATTTAGTTTGAAAAACATGACTCAGTATTACTCCAAGGAGTAATACGTTTTTATAATATGCCTCATTGGAATAATACTGAGTCATGCATCTTCAATTTACAGGGCATTTTAAAAAAAAATTAAAGCATTTTTATATTATTCTCCTTGGAGCCATAATAATGAAATTGAATTATAATCCGTATGTCTTTGGAAGAGTCTTCACTTCCTTGATGCATGGCAAATCTTGAATATTTCCACAATGGAAATATTTTGGAAAAGTCATGTTTTATGCATTCATTCTTTTTGCTTTTCTGAAATCTGACACAGTGTTCAGGAAGATCCACCCCACAACTCACCACATGAATCACAGGGAACTCTATGACTTCAGTGAAGAATCAGTTTCGCCTAGTCCAGGATGATTATACAATTACAATAGAATGTGGTGAAAGTTAATGCAAGGAATAGATACATGTGTCCTTTATACTTGACAGGATAGGCAGAAAAATGTGATTCAGCTTTGGAAGGGTCTCATACAAATCCACAACCACATCAATTCATAGTGGTCAATTATTGTGCTTTCTAGTATTCTAGAAATCTAGAACAAGATTTATCCAATAAATCAGAAGTACACAGCACAAATTGCCAGGATGAGAGGCAGTTGCTAAAGGCATGCAACATGTCCCTATTGTTGCTGGTTTTTTTCTCCCAGAGGGCAGAGTTGCAAAATTGAATGAGATAGGGAAGAAATACAAGATGAATAATAGCAATAATGATATATGAATCATAATAATTCTAACAGTAACAGAGTTGGAAGGGACCTTGGAGGTCATCTAGTCCAACCCCCCGCTCACGCAGGAAACCTGTACTAGGGATTCAAACCGCTGAACTGATCAACGTTCAATGTCTTAGCCACTGAGCCACCTAGTCACACCTAGTCACATAATTAATCACATGTAAGTTAAATCAAATCAAATTTAGCAATAGCAATAGCACTTAGATCTATATACCGCTTCATAGTGCTTTTACAGCCCTCTCTAAGTGGTTTACAGAGTCAGCATATTGCCCCCAACAATCTGGGTCCTCATTTCACCCACCTCAGAAGGATGGAAGGCTGAGTCAACCTTGAGCCGGTGAGGTTTGAATTGCTGAACTTCAGCTAGCAATCAGTTGAAGAAGCCTGCAGCCACCTCGGCTCTAGGTAAAATTTACTTTACCTTGCCCGTCTGTTTTTTTGAGGAATATTGTGTGTGAATATGTATTTATTTTATCTTCTTCCTGACTACTTTTTACAGTGATAACTCAGTATTGCAATAAACTAATATAAACTTTTGGCCCACAAATCTTTCACAGGAATCTAAAATAATTTGAAGAAATATCTATCTATCTATCTATCTATCTATCTATCTATCTATCTATCTATCATCTATCTTTCATCTGTCTGTCTGTCTGTCTGTCTATCTATCTATCTATCTATCTATCTATCTATCTATCTATCCACATACACATACACATACACACAAATACACACATGTGTATGTATGTATGTATCGGGAGTAGTAAAGTTTGTACTTGTCAGATAAATGATAAACTCTTGAGATTGTTTCCCCCACCTCTCTGAATAAAACAATTCAATACGGACATCATCAGCAACTTCTCTTTTTCCAAATATTTATCTATTTGGCATTTTGCTCAAAAAACTTTGCTCTTTTTCACAAATGGGGACCCATGAAGCTTAAAACATAGAAAAAGATCTATACATTCATATATTTATCTACAGCTACTTATTCGTTTATTATTCTAAATCTACTTTATCCAAATCATATTACATAGATGACAAGCTGCATAGAGTTTTTAAGAAGCAAGCAAAAACCTAAACGTGGCTGACAACGCTCTATAATCTAGGGTTTAATATATCCGGTAATTTTGGAATACTGTAATAAATATATTACTTGCTTATTTGCTATATAACTGTGATCAAAAGTGACTGAGATAATTTCTATGTTAGAAAGACAAGATAGAAAATTCTGCCTGTGCCCAGATTTAACCTAAAAATATTAAATAAATTATAAGGAGAAGAGTGTATTAAATATTTCCCCAAACTGATTCAGCTGTGGGGTTCAGTTCTTAGAATATTGGAAAAAAAGGAGCTGGCCCATCACTTCCCTGAGTATGGAAGGCACTCAGTTGTGAGGAAAGTAATGTAGCTCAATGCAGAATAGTATTTTTTCCAACCACAAAACGTATTAAAGAAACTTCACTTACTGTGTATATGCTTTGTCCGAAAGAGAGTTCCACGTCATAGAAGTTCCCATTATGTCTCACAGGCAGTGACTTTCCAGCCAATTGTTGTCCATCCACTTTGGAGGAAGAAAGAAATTTTCCATCAAGTTGTTTACAGATGGAAACCTTGAGACTGTAACTACCTTGTGGCACTTTGTCTTTGATACCCCGTAAGCATTTTAGATGAATATCAGTAAATTGAGATTTTTTAGTGCGGTTAACCTAAAGGAGAACAGTGGGAGAGAGAGCAATACTCATTATCAGTACTTTTTTAAACAATCTGAGATCAGTTGGGAGAAAAGGTTATTTTTAAAATACCTCTCATCCCATTTTCTTTTCAGTATACTCTATGTCAATATAATATATCATCCCTCCCTGTCTCTGTCTCTCTGTCTCTCTCTCTGTGTCTCTCTGTCTCTCTCGCTCCCTCCCTCATTCAGTTCAATAGTCCAGTTATCGGGAATATACAGAAAAACCTGAAATTCTGAAGTAACTCTTGGCAATATATTTCAATATATATGTTGTTTCTAGTTGAATGAAACACATTGATGCATTCAGTTGTTTCAGATATTGAAATATGCTTCGGTTTTCATCCCCTAGGAGGGGGACTTTGGAGGCCATTTCCCCCACTTTGCCCCTTTAAAAAAAAGATATTGCTTCTGTTTGGCAACACCAAGAAATACTTTAAAGGTAGTCCTTGACTTACCACCATTCATTTAGTAACCATTTGAAGTTACAACAGTATGGAAAAAAGGGATTTATAACCGTTTTTCACAACTACTGTTGCAACATCCTCCCCCCCCCCATTGGTCACATGATCATATGCTTGGAAACTGGTTCATATATTTATGATGGTTGCAATGTCCCAGGGTCATGTGATGACCTTCTGACAAGTAAAGTCAATGGGGAGGCCAGTGTTTCGCTGAACAACTGTGGCAAGAAAGTTCATAAAATGGGGCAAAACTCACAAGGCCACAGAACTTTTGGACTCATTTATAGCCGTAAGTCGAGGACTACCTGTAGTCTGTTTCCCACAAAGGGAATGGATTGGTTACACTAACCTCCTCAACAAGCCCCCACTACCAAACACATATCTGTTATGCTGACTACAGGTCTAATTATTCTCAAACAGCATATTCATTGTTCTATTGTATCGCCTTTTTCCCTCCCTGGCATCACTGGATACTGCCATCAACATTGCCTAACTTGTACTGAAATCAGAAAGCAAAGGCTTAAGCTCTTGATTTTTTCCCCACAGACACTTTAAATTGCTCATTTTTTGAGAGAGAAATTAAGATTCTAATATTGTAAGGTATTTAGTAAGCTTTTGCCTTATTACATCATGGTGCAAAAAGTATTTGTTTATATGTTAATTTCAAAATAAATACTTGATCCTAATTGTTTAACATGAAATCTGATAACATATGAAAAAAAGCATGCCTTCAACAAAATATTTTAGAATGGCAATGTGCTCACTGAGGCACCATCCTACAACCTGTTCAAGATCTGAAATGTTTTATTTGATATATTGAAGATATTTAACGATATAAGTAATCTTAACTTAGTCATATATTATAAAGATGTATGATAATATTATGAGACCTATACACTAGATGCAATGGAAATATTTATTTCTCTTGGGATTGTTATGACAGTGTCCACAGAATACAAAGGTTTTAATCCTGGCATGCCTTAAGGAATATAGTGACCAATAATCTGTTTTTAAAAACTCCTGGCTTTAATTTATAATAGGAGAATCAGCATATTTCCATATAGATAGAGAGTATATTCAGCAGTGTTTAAAAAAAATCACTTGACAGAATTAAGCCTCTTTTGTTTTTGTCAACACAATCTATACTTAACAAACTAATCTCAATGGCAATTATTTAAGTTAAATTAGAAAATTCTTAATTAACAGTGAAGAATTAACCTTAATATTTTTAGATACACATACACACACACAATTAACATCATGTGAATGAATAAATCAGACAATGTTTCTAAAACCTCAAGGCAGGATTACTGATGCAGTCAGACCGAGTTATTAAACACATTCTAAATTAAACGCCTCTATGAATTTTATACTGAAATATATTGTGATAGTTTTGCATGCCAAATGTGACATTTTATATTTTAGATTCATCTTCTGCAGTAATTTTGGAAATGTCACACAAACAAAGATTTTGCATTTACCCAATGGAATTACTATGCATGGCCAGTTAGCTTCCTCTTTTTCTGGCTCTTCTAGTTGTTTCAAGTCAGCAAGCCATAAAAAATCTTTATCTCTCTGAAACACAGCAATTTGGAAGATAATCGAATAGTGACTGGGGGGCAAAAACGCCAGTCTGAGGAATTATACCACAATCTCTCTTGCATTTACAACATTCCCTCAAAGCTAGTGTCAGTTGAGTAGGAAAAGGAGATAGGAGATGCATCGTATCTCAAGCTTGTCTCATTTAAATAGTGGCAGAGCTGCCTTTCTTCTACCTACAATATCACTTTGCTTGGCCAATGTGCTTGAAAAATTCTGCCTTGCCGACATGATCCGTGGGCCAGAGGTACTTCTAAACATTTTGTTAAAGCACATCTTTGCATTTGCAAAAATATACATCTTAAAAACCTGCTAAACTCCTTGCATCTTTTAAAATCTAAATAAAAAAGATTTTTTTTTCTACAAGGAAATCCATATATCTGATCTAGTCATTTGCAATTTTTCTTTGAAAACACATACAGAAGGAGAGGGATGGAGGGAGAGACCGAAACTGTTTACCTTCCAGCAAGGAACAGCTGTTCGATTTGAATTATGACTCACTCCTGGAAGGATACGAAGATTGGCTGCAGCCCTTATTTTCCAGGCATTTGAGACAGTTTCCAACACCTGACTTTCTGGTTTGCTTTGGTGACAAAGGGAATGGAAAGGGAACATTTTAAATAACATGCATAAATTAAAGGCAACCATGACACCTGAAACTTGCCGCATTCTTTTGTTTGTTTGTTTGTTTGTTTGTTTGTTTGTTTGTTCAATTTCTAAAGCTGTCTATCTCAAAGAAGTAACTCTGGGTAGTGATCATTAAATCAATACATACAAACATACCCTGTTTTCCTGAAAATAAGACATCCCCTGATAAAAAGACCAATCGGGCTTTTGAGCGCATGCACTAAAATAAGCCCCCACTGAAAATAAGCCTTCCCCAAAAATATTTAAATGCATGCACAGCCGATCCCCACCATTTCCTCTGGTTAGGGTTAGGGAGACTGAGCGGGAAATCAGGTAAGATGGCAAAAGGAGCCCCGTCTTGCTCCACATGCCCCAAAATAATAAGACCTCCCCAAAAATAAGGCCAAGCATTTATTTCAGGGTTCAAAAAAATATAAAACAGGGTCTTATTTTCAGAGAAACATGGTACATGCATGCATACAACATATTTGTGCTTCTTAAATATGCCATAGAGAATCCAGGAGTGTAGTCAACCAAAGTGGCAAAAGAATAATATATAACAGTCGAGATGTCCCTGGTGCTCTCTGAGTTTATTTGTTTTCTGCAGACGTTTCATTACCAGGTAGCATCATCAGTACAAACCAGAAACAACCAAGTTCAGGGAGCACCAAGGACCCCCCATTTCAACCCTGAGCTACAAATATTCTCCTTTAAATATAACAGTATCATCTATTTATGTCTGAATTGATTTGACAAAAATAGTAAGCTATAATCAAGTGAACACTGGAGTTCACATAAAAGTCCAGATTAACAAAAATACAGGTGAAACTCGAAAAATTAGAATATCGAGCAAAAGTTCATTTATTTCAGTAATGCAACTTAAAAGATGAAACTAATATATGAGATAGACTCACTACATGCAAAGCGAGATAGTTCAAGCCTTGATTTGTCATACTTTTGATGATTATGGCTTACAGCTCATGAAAACCCCAAATTCACAATCTCAGAAAATTAGAATATTGTGAAACGGTTCAATATTCTAGGCTCAAAGTGTCCCACTCTAATCAGCTAATTAAGCCATAACACCCGCAAAGGGTTCCTGAGCCTTTAAATGGTCTCTCAGTCTGGTTCAGTAGGAATCACAATCATGGGAAAGACTGTTGCAGAAAACCATCATTGACACCCTCCATAAGGAGGGAAAGCCTCAAAAGGTAATTGCAAAAGAAGTTGGATGTTCCCAAAGTGCTGTATCAAAGCACATTAATAGAAAGTTATGTGGAAGAGAAAAGTGTGGAAGAAAAAGGTGCACAAGCAGCAGGGATGACCGCAGCCTGGAGAGGATTGTCAGGAAAAGGCCATTCAAAAGTGTTGGGGACTTTCACAAGGAGTGGACTGAGGCTGGAGTCAGTGCATCAAGAGCCACCACACACAGATGGATCCTGGACATGGGCTTCAAATGTCGTATTCCACTTGTCAAGCCGCTCCTGAACAACAAACAACGTCAGAAGCGTCTTACCTGGGCTAAAGACAAAAAGAACTGGTCTGTTGCTCAGTGGTCCAAAGTCCTCTTTTCTGATGAGAGCAACTTTTGCATCTTATTTGGAAACCAAGGACCCAGAGTCCGGAGGAAGAATGGAGAGGCACACACTGCAAGATGCTTGAAGTCCAGTGTGAAGTTTCCACAGTCTGTGTTGATTTGGGGAGCCAAGTCATCTGCTGGTGTTGGTCCACTGTGCTTCATTAAGTCCAGGGTCAATGCAGCCATCTACCAGGAGATTTTGGAACACTTCATGCTTCCTTCTGCAGATGAGCTTTATGGGGATGCTGACTTCATTTTCCAGCAGGACTTGGCACCTGCCCACACTGCCAAAAGTACCAAAACCTGGTTCAATGACCATGGGATTACTGTGCTTGATTGGCCAGAAACTCGCCTGACCTGAACCCCATAGAGAATCTATGGGGCATTGCCAAGAGAAAGATGAGAGATATGAGACCGAACAATGCAGAAGAGCTGAAGGCCACTATTGAAGCATCCTAGTCTTCCATAACACCTCAGCAGTGCCATAGGCTGATAGCATCCATGCCATGCTGCATTGAGGCAGTAATTGATGCAAAGGGGCCCAAACCAAGTACTGAGTACATATGCATGCTTATACTTTTCAGAGGTCCGATATTGTTCTATGTACAATCCTTGTTTTATTGATTTCATGTAATATTCTAATTTTCTGAGATTGTGAATTTGGGGTTTTCATGAGCTGTAAACCATAATCATCAAAAGTATGACAAATCAAGGCTTGAACTATCTCGCTTTGCATGTAATGAGTCTATCTCATATATTAGTTCATCTTTTAAGTTGCATTACTGAACTAAATGAACTTTTGCACGATATTCTAATTTTTTGAGTTTCACCTGTAGATTGTTTATTGCAAGCTTCTTGTAAGAGAAGTGAAATGTCTTAAAAGAAAAGCAAGAAAGTCCAGATGTCTCTTGAAAAAGCACTTTCGGGATAGAATGTCTATTGTATCCCAATAGCATAGCTTGGGCAAAATCTCACATGATCTTCCAGCATTCTAGGATGTTGATTCTGGATATAGAGTGGTAACATTATTCCTTGATTTGACAGTGAATCTCTAAAGTTTCCAGGACTTGAAATATGTAAAAAGAAAAAAAATGGTACCCGTTTCTCACTAGTTTTTACCCAATGAATGAACAGCACTAATTGATATAAACATTATTTGAAGAAACAGCTTTTTTTTTTAAATCATGTTAGAAATTTAATTCAGAAATCTAGGTTTCAATTAGAAATAAGGTATATTTAAACAGAGCAATTGTATCAAGACAATTATTTGTAGTATTTTATTTTTGAAATTGTTTTGGGGGGAATGCTTTTGTCTGGTAATTCCTAAACATTTAAATGAATGCAAATGAAGTCTGTAATTGTTATATAAAAGTTCTAAAATAAAGAACAACCACAGAAACAATGAGATTGGTTTAATTTAAATCCTTTAATGGTTGTTTTTCTTCTGGACTGGGACAGGGATTGTTGCTATTTGTTTTAATTGTTTATTTTTACTCTATGTTGCCCAGGGTTATTATATAATTGGGCAGTATTATAAATTGCTAAAATAAATAAATAAATTTGCAGGAGACATATGATGTAGCCCTCCACTTTCCCAGGCATTAAATTTACCTTTGTGTACCAATAACGTATGCCATGAGCAGCTGGGCCTTTCACATGCATAATTATAGCAAAATAACAGAGTTGGAAGGGACCTTGGAGGTCTTCTAGTCCAACTTCCTGCTCAGTCAGGAACAGTGGTGGGTTGCCTCCGGTTTGGAGAAGAACCGGTAGTAAAATTGGCAGGAGACTCTGCCCACTGACCCCAACATCATCAGGAAGCTTCTGCGCATGTGCGTGCAGCCCCATTGCAAACTGGTAGTAACGGTTAGTAGAAACCACCCCTGGGCAGGAAACCCTATACCATTTCAGACAAATGGTTGTCCAATCTTTTCTTTAAAAGATTGAAAATCTTTTAAAACAGCCCCTTCTACCATTCCCTTTTCTTTCTCCTTTTCTTCCATTGGAACAAAAAAAAATTCCCACATTGGCATGACTGGGATAGGGATGGTCTGAGATGTTTTCTCAAATGATTTCTTGGAATGGATTTAAGCCATGCTGGTCTGATCCCTGCCATTCTTCAAAGCCTTTCCCTATGCCCACTGAACCTACTGAGATCCAGTAATGTTTAACGTTGTGATGGGTTAGAAACCAGGAGACTGGAGTTCTTGCAGGAATAAAAGCGTGGATATCAGCTTGGTCACTTTGGGCTCATCACTTTTTCTTAGCCAAACCCACCTCAGGGTTGTTATGGTAAGATACAATGAGTTGTGTCTACAAAGGGGAAGGTGGTGATGGTCTACAGGGAAGAGGCAGTTTCCAAGAAAGGAATGAGCACATTCAAAGATGGAGGGGAGACAATCGACAACATAGCCCAAGATGGATTGGAGACAGAGATTTAGGATAGCCACTCCTTTGAATCTCCCAGGGTATATCCATTAGGATTTGATTAGGATCCATTAGTATAGGTTTAGTTTGGCAAGGTTCTGCCTATGTGGTATAAGCAAACAAAGGAGTGAACTTTGGCTGGATTTTTCTATGTTGTTCTTAAGCTGGGCCTGATCAAAAATAGTAGCCAAGACAATGTAAGAGATGACCAGGCTGAGCATGAGGGAAAGGGTCAAATGCACCATACATCATGAATCCCTTGGCACCCACACAAGATCTAAGTCCAGCCTAGCTTGAGTGTCTTTCTTATCTCCCACTCATTTCCCTTGACTGTTAGTTGGTCAGATTCTTGTAGAGAGCTTAAGCTTGCAATAAATCTTTAAACTCATTTGATCAGCCTGAATCTCCTGATTTCCTCTGTACTTGACAAACAATTAGACATTTATGTTGTCCTGAGTTGATAAAAAGAAATGGTGGGATAAAAATATAATAAATAAACCTCCTCCCCATAAACCTAAAGGGCATCTTGACCATGCTTATGTGATTCACTGTACGTTGTACTATTTTCCTGTAAGCTCAATATTCCATTTAGAACTGAAGTTTAAATTACCTGGAAAGTTTATAGCCATACAAAAGGCTGCCTGCTGGAGGTGCTTCAGCACAATTATATGGCAGAGGAGCTGAAGCTGATAAGAGTTATATCACAGTTGGCTGAGTTAAAAAATATAGAACCCATCATGTAATTGCAATCACATGGTTAATGAGTGCTTAAGCAGGACTTCCGTTTTACACTGCTCCCTTCTTGTGAGGATTAGATGTGATGAAATTAGCATGGATAACTTCCTCCATGTCATGAATATATTATCATCAGATATAAAACCATTCTTACAATGATACATTTATCTTACCAAATCATAAAAACTTCACTATGATTCTACTATGTGAAATAATATATTAATATTAGATATTATCCAGAAACCATGGTAAGACTAGTATAGTACTTAGATCTAGTATAGTACTAAGCACTATACTAGTACTAAGCACTAGTATAGTGCTTAGATTGATTCAGGATTTCCCTGGATCAATTAAACCCAATCCCAAAATTATCAGCTGTCAGAAAAAGACTCTGACAAAGTGATATGATTACATAAACAAAAATTAAAAGTGTACAAGAGTAAAAGTGAAGTGTGCTTTAAATGTTAAGAGGCAGGCGATGGCTATCTGAAGTCAGGGAAACACTGCCCAAAATAAACAACCCAGGATTCTGTAGCATCCTTTTCTTCCTTGACCTGAAGGTTAAACAAAGCTTAATCTAATTGCCCTAAAAATGAAACAGAGGCAACTTCTATTGTGAACTTTCTTATCTAATTCCTGCGGTTGAATCATCCACGAAAACCTCTTTTCCCAGGAAAACTGGTCGGTTTGAAACTTTGTACTTATTTAGTTTGCTCATGATGGAAATTATTTCACTTAATTTGGTTAGAGCTGCATTGACACAGGGGTTCATTAGGACACCCATTTGCTTGCAATTCAATTTAAAATTAAATACACTTTGTTGTGGATTTTATTACTTTTAAACTACTGTATCTATTGCCTTTATTAGCAGCTATTACACAATTATGAAGGTAAACAGTTTTCATTACCCCATTTGATCTCTTTTAGGGATACAACATTTTTCTTTTTGGTTCACATAGCTAGAAGTTGGAGAATAGTGAACTGTCTGGCTGAGAGAGAGCAATTCAATAAAATTAGTGGAAATAATGAGTTGGTAATTCAAGGAGAAACATGTCAGTGAAATAATTCCTCTCTCAAATTCATTCTCTTTGATCTCATGGAACAAAGGTGTGATATAAATATAACAATCATGCTGGGGGGGGATGTATTTTTATTTGGGTTTGTGCTCAGACAATAGTATTTTTTTTTAATTAGACATGGATAAAATTGAATTGTTAATCTTTGATAGAATGTCTTTTCAAGCTTTGGGTCATTTTAAAAGAGGGTCTGCAGGGAAGATAGATCAAAAGATTTATATGTCTTTTTCAATACCTGTTCTAGGAACAGAAAACAGCTGGTGCTTGTTGTGTATTTCTTTGGCCACTTGCTATATTATATAGGCAACAGATAGAAGTAAAGGTTTTAAACAAATAAATGTAGTGAGTCATATTTTAAAATTAGAAATATAAAATAGCTTGTTCCAATTATATAATTTTCACAGATTTGTTTCAGTCACTATCTTCATTTTGTCAAAATATTTAACAGTAATGCTCTCAGGTGGCTCTGATTCAAAATCAGAATTTTCTAGGAAAAACAAAGTAATTGTTATCAATTTTTTCACGCTATCTTAGTATTGATATATAGACAGAACAAAAGACCCTGTTTTTTAAAAGATAAAAATTACCCCATGCAACATTTTTAATAGCTAACTAACTACTGCTAGCTAACTAATTTGTATGTAGGGTTATTATATAGGAACTATGCCCAAATATTCATACCTTTGAAATACTTTAGAAAGTTTTCTACTGAACTTTTCATCTTGGAAAATATCTTCATATTTTAAATCCTATATGAAAGAAAGTTTCACATGTTTAAATTCTGAGAAGAATCTTAATTGTAACTATTATTTAAACATTTGGTGAGAATATTGATTCATCTTAGCTATAGAGATGAATACTCTCGGATTTTCTTTCCTGCCTGTGCTGGCCGAGTTAAACACATGACTCAAACTATTGTTTAATGACAGCTACTTGACAGATGATAAGCAAATGCCGGCTTTCTATACAAGAATAAAGCTGGAACCACTACTCAGCTTCTTTTTATAGGCTATCCTGCTGGCTGCTTTGTAATTGCCCACAATCAGCATCAGTTGGTAAGCTGCATGCTTTTCTCCCTGCTTTGAAGTTGCTGGAGCTTTCCTCAGGTTGCTAGCATATGACATCATCGGTCTGTGTTTACAGCACAGGATTTCTACCTCCCAATATCCCACAAATAGCTGTACTGAACCCCACTAATCCCACCACCATTGCTACCGTTATCGCTCCATTCTTGCCACCATCACCAACACCCGTGTTTATTATTCTGGCATTAATATGTTCGGCCAGCTGGTTTTCCACGTGGAGTGCCCTCTTATTTGGTAAGTTGTTGAGGTCACTCGACAAATACACTCAGAGGAACTTCTTAAAACATCAGGTGACATGATGTTCAAACCGAAGTTCAGAAAGTATTATATGATATACATATTATAATATACATGTAATACTTATATTTACATTTAATAAATATAGGGGATTTTGACTAGTTAACAGTATCTATACCAAACTGCAGTCCTATCAGAAGAATGATCCTTGCATGGTGACATAATCAAATCAAAGACTACCCATATAATATGTTCTCCAAATCCACTTTAATATGAAATGTAGAATAAATCCAGTTAATTACCTGATCATCTTAATATATTATAAAGACTTTGACAAGAGGCAACACTTGATTAGTCAAGAAAAAAATACATGTACTAACAGTATCCATAATGCTTTTTAAGGCCAATATCAGGGCAATGTGTATTTTAGCATAACCTTATTATTGTATTATTCACCTTCAAATATGTTTTATATTTGTAAAGGGTGGGGTGGTATGTCTCACTGTGGAAAGAGCTGACAGTCTAATAAATGGGACAAATGGGCAGATGCCCCTAAGGTATCATGTAAGTAATGAAATACCCTTAAGTTCCTACCTGAAGGTAACTGACAAATCAATTAGAGTACCATAAAAAGGTAAAAACCCAATTAAATGATTGAAGAGATAATTGTGACTATTAAGAACTAATTAAATTCTATATGTTCTATAACATGTGGATTCAAATGTTCCCTTGCCAGTTCAGGAAAAATACTCAGTAGTTACAGATGTAGAAACATTTGAATATCTATCGCAATGGATCCGGGCCTAAGAACATAGAAAAGTAATATTTAATAGCAGATATGATACAATACACCAACAATACACCAACAATTTTTAATAGTCCGTAAACTGAAGATCTTACTTTCTATTCATTTAAATACTTCTTTTCATGTTTAAAATTATATAATCCTAGGAAGATTATATATTTATTAAATTACCTAACAGAACCAGAAATATTTAAATTCTGCTCTCATTTACACTGCAAGAATCTCCTAATGGGATTGTTCTTTAAATAATATATAGAAGATATCATATTTAAACTGTGCAATCATATGCTTGCTTACTCAACACTAATTCCCAGTGAATTCGATGGAGCTTCTTCTAAGCAGGCATGCATTAGTTTTCCATGTAAGTACAGACAATAAAAGTTGATAGTTCTGCAATACAAATTGCAGTTTCCCCCTAGAGTTGAATTCTAATTGATTCAATGTTTTGAAACCATCGCTCTAGTGGATGAAAAGAGCCAAAAATCGTCCTCTTATATGATATGACAATTCACTGCTTGGTCTTCACTGCTTTTGAATAATATAGTCTTATATTCTTATGCTTGGCTGCAAATCAATTTTATGTGATTAAAAAAAGCCAGAATTTTTAAAAAACCCTTTCTTACGCTTTAACCATAGTATTTAAGTAAAAAAATAATATTGTTTAAATATTAAGGCAGAGATTTTAGTCAAATCAAGATTATCCTCCGCATAAAAGAACACACTGTTTCTGAGAACATGATGCCATTATTTTTAGGTAAGGGTCTTATAACTAATCGCTTGATAAATGGTTTGCTATCAATCCAAATATGCACAAATGTTGAGAGGACAAAAGTCATTTTTAGTTTCATAGAAATTAAAAAATGAGTCACAAGAGTAAATTCTACGCCTACTTTCATTATCTATGGTGTAATAAAGAACACACAACAATATTTTAAGCAATAGCAACTAATTATAAAAGCATTCACTTTTATCTTTAGTAGAATTGTTTTTCCAGGCTCTATGCCTACTTTAGAGTTATGGAGATTAATCAAGCAACACATCCGAATGTTTTTATAATGCTTTTGGTAACTTCTATACAGTGGTTAGTACCACTATTTAATTGACTATAATTGGAAAGCAAGTGAAGTGTTTGACCTATTTGTCTCAATGTTTTTATATCTTTTATTTTTTTATATCATATCTGAAAAGGGGGTTCATTTGAAACATGCCACTCTGGATTAATAAAATTTTCTCTCTGGCGTTTGGGATTGCCTTCCTTATACTCATTGATTTTCAGTGCCTGCCTTTATTTTCATGTTTCTTTGGGCAATTTCAGTTTCAACAATTGAACAAACATGAGCTATTTCCAAGGTTCAGGAAGCACCATGACAAAGAAGCAGGTAAAATTACAATGCAGATATTTGATTAAAATAATAGCATTAATATAAACAATCCCCATGTATATCATAATTTTCCTCTTTCCGTCCCTTAAAAGATTACACTTTGGTGGAAACTTTTTGAGGGGTTGGGGAATCATGCTCAAAAGCTATCAGGGACCACAGGGAGATTCTGGAGCCCAATTGTTAAAATGTCAAGTGGAAGAGACTGTGACATCACTTTGGCTATGTATCAGATGTGTGAAAAGTAAAACTAGTTATGAAGCAAATCATGAGTCAGACTGTCGATACTCCACTCTGACCTGTTTACATGGAAAGTTGCCCAGGAGAATAACTTCATTGTAAACCTCTTTCTCAAACTGCTCGATGTAAGGGAGAATGTCTTCATCTTCAACTTCATCACAAAGATCAGAGGTCTTAATGCTGCTGACAGGGCACGTAGAATCCAAAGTATCTTCACCTTCTATCTCTTCAACTTTCATTTCTAGAAAACAAGAATATGACTGATTCTCATGGTGAAATACAGAGTTGGAAGGGACCTTGGAGGTCTTCCAGGCCAACCTCCTGCTCGAGTAGGAAACCCTATACCATTTCTGACAAATGGCTGTCCAATCTCTTCTTAAAAACCTCTAGTGATGGAGCATCCACAACTTCTGCAGGCAAATTGTGATCTCTCCTCTATAAGGTCCCATCTGTTATTTCTTGTCTTGTCTTAAGATGCTTTGGAGCAGGGGTCTCCAACCTTGGCAACTTTAAGACTTGTGGACTTTAATTCCCAGAATTAGCTGGCTGAGGAACTCTGGGAGTTGAAGTCCACAAGTCTTAAAGTTGCCAAGGTTGGAGACCTCCTGCTTTGGAGAATAGAATGACTCTGGCCCTCCACTTCTTTGTGACAGCCCCTTAGATGTCCCAAAGATGCTTTTTCAAATGGCAACTGGACTTCCTTTTTCCTTGAAGATGTTTCATTTCCCATCCCAGGAACTTCATTCCCCCAGAATGGAGACATTGAGGCCACTTGGAGGTTTTGTCTGTGTCTTCAGGGTCACCAGAATAATGCAACTGGGTGTGGAACCATTTTGGAACTGCTGAACTGCATAGTTAAATCTTCAAGTGGCCTCAATAACTCTCAGAAAGAGTGCTATCGACCAGATGACTGCAAGGAATATAAATCCTTCCATTCCCCACCATTCTCTGAAGAAACTTCTTGGATGAGAAGCGAAACATCTTCAAGGAAAAACAAAGGAAGTCCAGCTGCCATTTGAAAAACCATCTTTGGGACAATCCTGACCTGGGTGACTGGGAATCTCCATAGACATTTAGCCTCATAGATATTGCATGTATTATTATATTGTTATCATGCATAATGTAAGTATTTGGGTGGCTTTGGCCAACTACAAGATGCTCAGGGTAAGGCTGAAAGCTGTATGAACATTACACATTGGCTTTAATTGTCTCGTATAATTATTTGCAGCACTTTACAGTTATTGCCTTATGTTCTTCTCATCTGACTCAACTCTCTGGCATCAACAAGAGAAAGGGACAGAAGCATTTCAAATGGAAATTCTGATGCTGCCAACTGAAACATTGCAACAACTAAAGAGAAGTCTCTTGTTGCAAAAAGAGAATTCTACAAACTGAATGACCTGTCATACAAACTGAGGGTATCTTGGAGAAGCTTGGAGAAGTTAAATCCCAAAAACTATTGTCCCATTTTATAAATGTAAGTGAGCTAATCACTCGATCAGATAATAATATTGCTTTATGTCTTTCATTCTAAGAAATGATTACTACAATTGGCCCAGTAATTGGTTCAAAAATTGGTTTGGCTTTACTCTCCCATTTTATTGCAATGAAACAAATCCCTATTTATTTAGTTTTAATATTATCCAAACTGGACAAGGAACTTAAATACACATTCTGATAAGAGATTTGTTTCTTTGTTAAATGTTAAATTTAACCGTTACTTTTGCCTATTGATTGCAGTCTGTTCTCCCATGTTTTGTGTACCCAACACAGGGTGGCTTTATGTAGGTGATTAAGCTTCTAATTATATCAGATATTTAACTGATAGGAGTTAATTATAGAACTGATAGGTTCTAATTATATCAGATATTTAACTGATAGGAGTCTGAGTGGCACAGCAGACTAATGCTACTGTTAAAAGGTAGTATTTAGCTTCCAGCTGCCTGCAATTACTGCAAGTTCAATTCTCATGAGGCTCAAGGTTGACTCAGCCTTCCATCCTTTCTAAGGTAGGTAAAATGAGGACCTGGTTGTGGGGGCAATAAGCTGACTTTGTATAAAATATACAAAAGTATGAAGGCTATTGCTTAACACATTGTAAGCCGCCCTGAGTCTCCGGAGAAGGGCGGCATATAAATAAATAAATAAAAAAACCTGATTTTTTTGTTTGCCCTTATTCAAAGTAGGCAAAATCTACCATGTTTCCCTGAAAATAAGACCCTGTCTTATATTTTTTTGAACCCTGAAATAACCACTTGGCCTTATTGCCATGCACTCAAAAGCCCGATTGGGCTTATTATCAGGGGATGTCTTGTTTTGGGGGAAAACAGGGTATTATCTTCTTTTTTATATGAATTCTAGAAACCATGGGTTTTTGAGATGGGTTTGGGTTTTTAAAATTTTCCCACAACATTTTCCTTGAATTGATATGGTTTATTAAATCTCTAAATTGTGTATGATCAGGCATGATATTACTCCTTTCCCCCCCCCATTAAATTTATGCTAAAATATGTGCCAAGGTCATAATCCTTGTCCTAAATCCTTAATCGGGATTTAGAATGTTTTTCTTTTAGAAAAATAAATTCTGATGAGGAATTGTTGTGAATATAGTTTATTAGTCTGCATATTTCACTCATCCCATAGTTCTTTGTCACATACAGTGACATATTACTTTGCCTCTCCTCCTGCTAGCTATAGAAAAGGATTGGTCCTTTAAAAACAAAGTATAGGATTCAACAGAAGTCCAGGGGCTGATGCTGAAAACAGTAAAGTCTTTCATCTGTCCAGCAGCCTCAGAATAATATTTTGGAATCTTTAGGAAGTGATGGTTCTAAGAAACTGAGACAGAAAATCGATTTCTAAAAGAGCATGCTCTTTCTATGAAAATAGGCCAGTGATGGGTAACCTTTTTGCCATCGTGTGTGCTTGTGCCCACACCCATAATTCTATGCGTCCCACTCTGCGCCCCTTGCCCCCCGCTCCTGGCATGTGATGGCCCGGTAGGCCCGTTTTTCTTTCTCACCTGGCTCCAGATCCTCTCTATGCATCTGGGGAGGATGAAAACAGCCTTCCCCACTCCCTCTGAGGCCCTCCAGAGGCCTGAAATGGCCCATTTCCCAACTACTGGTTGGAAAGAAAGTGACGTTTTTTGCTGTCCCCAGCCTCCAGAGATTCCTGGAGAGGTGCTATGTCTTAAAAATTTTATTACTATGTACAAGTTATGGTATTGGGTATGCAATGTAAATTGAATTAGCTCCTTGTGACAAAGAACCAAAGAAGGAAGAGTTGGGCAATATCATGAATTTTAGGAGAAATGTGATTTCAGTAACATTTTCCAAGCATTTTTGCTTGGAAATTTTTGCTTGGAAAATTATTAATTATTATTTTAATTAATATTAATTAATTTTCCAAGCATTTATTATTATTATTATTATTATTATTATTATTATTATTATTATTATTGCTGATACTACACTATACTTTTAATATTATTTATGTACTTCTTCTGGAAAGGTAAATAAAATACAGTATTTTGACTTCTGTTTTATAAACATTACACCGAATTATTCATATACTTAAGTGTTTTAAGTTAAGATGTGATGCACTGAATCTGATTTCCCAATTTCTATCTATTATATTAATTTTGGTTTATTCATGTGCACAAATGGTCATTATGGTTACATCCGTATCTATAAGACACAATTTGCTTTCCGGAATGATCTTTTACATAACACCACAGGCAGAAATTCTGTTACATTTTACTCATAAAGTTCTGCAAATAATTCACACTTCAACTTCTAGTTATCAAATCTAGTTATGTAGACAGAATAATTGTAAAATGCAACTTTCTCAACTGAGAACCCTCTAGAAATGTAGGACATAATGGCTAGCAATCATAAAGTTGTAATCCAAATAATTAGAGGGTATCTATTTAGGAGGGCCGATATGCAGAAACCTAATTATGGATAAATAATGAACAAATTCTTACTCATAGTCTTTATATTAACAAAACAAATATGCATACTTCATCTTTTGAATGAAAATGTTATTATAATAAATTTACAATGTGACACAAGCCCTTTCCCCCCCCCCTTTATCTATAAACTGCATCAGTTTGTCATATAGGAATAACTCATGTGACTTGACAAGTGCTACAAGAAGTAAAATGAGATACGTTGAGGTAATTCAGAGAGTTAAAATCTTAAGCAACTGTATAATAAACCATTTAAATAGGCAGAATTGACCATTACTGAGTGAGCCGTCGTGGCACAGCGGTTAGAATGCAGTATTGCAGGCAAACTCACTGCTCACTGCCAAGAGTTCGAATCTGACCGGCTCAAGGTTGACTCAGCCTTCCATCCTTCCAAGATCAGTAAAATGAGGTCACAGATTGTTGGCAGGGGTGGGTTCTACTTACCTTTACTACCGGTTCACAACGGGAGCGTGCACACGTGCTTCTGTGCATGCCCAGATCGTCCATTATGACATCTGGCCGGGTGGGCAGAGCCTCCCGCCGCTTTTACTACTGGTTTGCAAGAACCGGACAGAACCGGGAGCAACCCACCATTGATTGTTGGGGACAATATATTGTCTCTGTAAACTGCTTAGGAAGGGCTGTAAAATACTATGAAGTGGTGTATAAATTAAGTGCTATTGCTATTACATATTACAATAATTGTTGGGCGTAGAATCTTCAGAAAATAACTGACAAGAAAAGAAAATGGGGAAAAACATAACTCCATTTTAAAAAAATAGTAATGGAATAATTGTCATTATGAGTATGAAACAAGGAGACCCAGCTACACTAAAACAGTAACCCAATGATGATTTTCAATCCTGTATTTTTTGCCTTCAGAGAAAAATAGACTTGTTTCTTTGCTTTACGAACTATCCCCATACCAAGATAAAAATCCTTTTGTTGCTTATTTAAAATTCTTTCAATTCTTAAACTTATAATTACAAATTTCTTTCATTCTGGATTGAAGGCAAACTCATCTGGGTTATAAGACTTGTTCCAAAAATTACTAACAGCTTAGATCTAGTTTTATGAGAGGGTCTAATAGAGAGGTCCTATGGAAGTTACCAAGATGCACCTTTGTTCTGTTGTCTGGGAAGAGTTTCAACCAGTTCATCCTGAGGAAGTAGACAGAGTGCTTGCTGCTATGAGTTTTGCCACCTGTGCTTGGGACCCATGATCCTCCTGACTAATTAAGGCCTCTTGGGAAGTGACATGCATTGAGTCCAAACAATGGTCAATGTGGGTCCTTGGTGTCAGTGGGGAAATCCTCCACAGTTTGCCACTGGTTTGCTGCCTGTGCATGCGTGGTGTGCACGCATGTGCAGTGCATGCCAAACACATGCTGAGCACACATGTGCAGTGCATGCCAAATGCATGCTGCACACACATGCACAGTGAGCACCAAATGCACACTGCATGTGCATGCACAGTACACACCAAACACATGCTGCATACGTGCACTTCCCGTGGATAAAGGAAGCTTGGGAAGATAAGTAGAACAGCGAGGGGGGGAACAGCTGTGCTGCGCAATTTAGATTCACTAGAAGGCAGGATTTCCTGCTTTGTAGCGATTTTAAATCGCATGGCACAGCTGATCATCGGAAATATTGGTTTGGACGAACTGGTAGCTTTTTTTTTACTACCAGTTCACCCAAATCGGTAGTTTTTATCACTACCGGTTTGCCTGAACTGGTGCAAACTGGTAGCATTTCACCATAGCTTGGTGTGCATTGCTAGCACTGCTGATGCTACCTAGTTTGGGTAATTAATGGTCTGCAAGAAAAGAACCAAGCTCAGAGATAACTAAGGGCCCCTCATTTCAACCCTGAGCTACAAATATTTTCTTTTAATGGTTAATGTCTCTTTGTGGGAGAGTATAGTGTCACCTACCTAGAAGCAGGCAGTGGTTCACTACAGTGGTGGATTTCAAAATTTTTTACTACCGGTTCTGTGGCTTGGTGGGCGTGGCAGGGGAAGGATACTGTAAAAATTTCCATTCCCTCCCCAATCCAGGGGGAGGTTACTGTAAAATCCCCATTTCCTCCCAATCAGCTGGGATTTGGGAGGCAGAGAATAGATGGGGGCGGGGCCAGTCAGAATTTTTACTACCAGTTCTCCGAACTACTCAAAATTTCCACTACCGTTTCACCAGAAATGGTCAGAACCTGCTGAAACCCACCTCTGGTTCATTCCCTTCTCAAGAGGTCAACTATGTGTTTGTTTTTTTTAATTCAGGGAAGATAGTTGAAAAGATAGTGTCCACTGAGCTTCAGAGAGCCCAAAAGGAAGCAGATTAACTGACCCTTTTCAGTCAGGGTTCAGACCAAGTGATAGCACTGAAATGGCATTGGCCATCTTTGTACATAATCTTTGAGAATATGAAATGGGGTAGTAAATCCACCCTGACATTCCTGAATCTTCTAGCATGTTTCAATACCATCATACCTTTCATATCCTTCTGGATTGGATTAGGGGAATGATAACAGGGATGGGGGCCCTGTCTTTCAGTGGTACTCTTCCTGACATAATAGAATAGAATTCTTTATTGGCCAAGGCCTCATCCTAAGGTCATCTTATAAGAAAGTAGCAATCAGTAACGGAGATCAAGTAGATGTAGCTCTAACTTTATAACTGTTACTTTTAAATAAATAATAGAGAGCAAATAAATAGAAGGATCAGACACATTCTGTCACTTTTTTTCATATGTATGTGCGTACATACACACGCACGCACACACACCCCTAACAATTTTGTCAGTATCAGCCTGCTCTGATCTAAGATCTTCAGACCTAAAGACTGTAGTTCTCAATGAGACAGGTGAATTCTAGAAGCTATAGTCTAGTACAGTGTTGGCAAATCTTTTTGGCACCAAGTGCCAAAATGGGAGTACGTGCGCACATGGGGGGAGTATCAGAAACCGAAAGAGCAGCTCCCCGGCACGCACACGTGGGAGCACTGGAAACTGGAAGAGCAGTTCTCCAGCGCGCTGGGAAGCTGAGCTTCCAGTTCGTGGCGCGCGCATGTGCACTGATCACCTGGTCTTCTAGTTTCTGGCATGTGTGCACGCATGAAAACAGCTGGCACGCCGGAAATCAGGAGAGTGGAGACCAGTGTGGAAGAGCAGAGACCAACCGGAAGCTCAGCGAAGACCAACATACTGGAACCTGGAAGAGCAATTGGTGACGGCCAGCATGCCCGGAGAGATGGCTCTGCCACTTCCAGCACGCATGCCATTGGTTCCCCATCATGGGTCTAGTACATCTGAAACAGGGCCAGATTAGAGAAGATTTCTGTTTACATATGTCCATGATCAAAGGTGCCAAAGTGTTTTTAAAATGTGTTTTAACAAGACCCATATATTTAAGTGAACCACAAAAAGAAATATTTAAAATTCAATATGCATGTGATCTTTTTGCTTGCTCTGCATTCCATTCATACAGCAGGATTTAAGGCCTCAGAAAATATTTGTTTTTCTCAGCAAAAACCCAAGTATGAGATCACACAATAATACCTTTAGTTCCACAATACTTTTATTGAAAGCCAAGCCAATATTGAACATCTTGTTATACCAGTTTTGACTAGGTATTTTAAATATTTTTAATTAGTTAACATGCTTAGCAGACAATTCCCGCTTCCATTCTTCAACTACACTTAAGAAATTTGGCTTAGCAGACCTGTAAACACGATGCCAGAACAAATGTAGCTCACAATTCCTTGTTCTATTGTCCACTAACACACTGTCCTTCATCAAAGACTCCCAAAGCTTCTATCACATTTAGAGCAGCTAAAACTTATAATTTAAATTGTAAGCTGGATATTTAAATGGAACCGAATTTGTGATCTTTGTCACCTCATTTCCATGAACGGGAAAGAATATTCTGACACAAAAATTACATACTTAATTCTGCCTCACCTTCTTTGCTGACCTCTATCCCACACTGCCTTGGGTTTATTTCCTCATCCATCAGAGGGTCAAAGTAATTTCTGCTGCATTCATTTCCTGTGGAAAGTACATGAAGTAAGGGTCAGTGATTATTAGAAGCACATGAACCAAAATGTTAATTTTGAAATCCAACACTAGCATGCAAGAGGGGCATTTCTGCTGCTACTTTATAAGATATATATATATATATATATTTAAAAAACACAAAGTCTTCTAAGCTGACTGCTTTCATAATTATCATCTAGGAAAAGGTCAGAAAAGGTAATTTTGGAAACAAGTTCAGTTGATGTTGCTCTTGCTCAGAAATTAATGAGAAAATTCTCAAATGAAGATGATAGGTTGATTAAAATAACACCCTTAAACCTACTCCTAAACCAAAATTATTCTTGAGATGGGCTCTAAAAGAAACTGTTAAGGAAATTGTGTTTCACAGGTGACCCCTTCAATTTTAACAGTTTTAAGTTTCACCGCTCAGCTTTCAACATCTGGTACATCTTTAATACTATTGTCAACCATGGAAGTGTTTAATTACAGAGGAGATTCTGTGAATGCTGCCTCATTAATCTGAGCTGCAATTGTATTAGCTTGAGCTCAGCATCCACATAACAATTTGATGGGATAAAACTACTCATTTAGCAGTTTCCATTTCCATAGCTGGGTGTACATAGTGCTTCAGGAACTAATGAAATTTATATTTTGTTTTTAAAAGTGAGAGGAGGACATCAGCTGACACAAACCCTTAGCTTTACAAGAGAAACAGGTTTGGTTCTTTTTTCTTTTCCAGTAATGAGTTTCCTGGTATCCTTAGAAGAGTTCAGTATCCTAAGTCAAGAGTTGACTTAACAACCACAATTGAGCCCAAAATTTCCATAGCTAAGTGAAACCTTTGTTAAGTGAATTTTGCCCCATTTTACGACTTTTCTTGCCACAGTTATTAAGTGAAACATTGCAGTTGTTAAGTTAGTAATGCAGTTGTAAAAAATGAATACGGCTTTTTCATCACTTTGCTTGTCAAAAGGCCACAAAAGGGGATCACGTGACACGGAAAACATCATAAATATGAACCAGTTGTCAGGTGTTTGAATTTTGATCACATGACCACGGGGATGCTACAACAGTTGTAAGTGTGAAAACCAGTCATAAGTCACTTTTTTCAGTGCCGCTGTGACTTTGAATGGTCACTAAATGAACTGTTGTAAGTTGGGGACTGTCTTTAGAAACAGGCTAACATTTACATTGGATAATGTTACTGAATGAGAAGTGCCAACAATATTACTCTTATTCTCCATCTATAAAAGGATTGCTATAATATGGGAGGGGGAGGGTAATCTTTGGGCTTTCCATGGTAGTAATGATTAAAGGCATAAATTAAAAAGATGCAATCTTTCTGTAGCAATGGTACCAGTGGTGGGTTGCCCCCAGTTCTGACTGGTTCTATAGAACTGGTAGTAAAACTGGCAGGAGGGCCTGCCCATCACCCCAGATGTCCTCATCGATGATCTGCACATGCGCAGAAGCTACTGCACATGCGCAGATGCAAGGGCATGTGCGAGCGATCCTGTTGCGAACCGGTAGTAAAGGTAAGTAGAACCCACCCCTAAATGGTACTACTATACAATTATAAGGGTGCTACAGTTAGGCAAAGCAGTGGTATTCTGCCTTGTTAAGTAGACCAACTGAAGTTGTAAGCTTCACAACTGAATCAGCTAAATGTTTTTCTTGCCTTATTGTGGACGCTATTTTTTAATTCTGTTATTAGTTTATTAGAGGAATGAAATAAAGGAATATCTTAACATTCATTGGATGCATATGCCATGAGACCGGGATATACATTTGGGATGTGAAAATAAAGGAGTTTGGCCTTATATCTTTCAAAAGTCTTTCCTCAGATAAAATAAATGAAAACACACACCCAGAGAAACGGACAAGGATCAAAGAGATATGACAAGGAAAACAAAGCCAAGAAATACTGTAGAAACAATATATTTACTTTTGATTTACTTTAAAAAAAAAAAACAAAATGCCAGGAGAAGCTCTTTCTCAGAGACTAAATGAAACTTTGATATGAAACTAGGTTTAATTTAGATTTCTGGACTGGCACACTTTTGACTGTCAGGGTCTATTTTTTTCCATGCAGTAAGTACAAGACCTGAAAATTTGCTTTACCTTGAGGTCTCAATAAAAGGGTGGGTGGGAAATGAGTTTCATTTTTGTTACTTTATCTGTCAACAACTACTAGCCTGCTATGAATCCTGGCAGCATGTAATCAAAGTCTTATGGACCGCAATAACAGAGCTCATCTACCTTATACGGCGTCATTGTTTTCCTCTAGCACAAAGCGGTGTGAGAACATGCTTTCTTGCAGATGTTAATGTTGACCATTAAAAGTGAAAATGGTGATGCAAATTCTTCAGTGCTAACCATGCTCCCGATCAGCACTCACATAAAGACAAATAGGTCTTTAAATAGACCGACCTTGAATCAATTCACATTTATACTGTTGGATCCCTTTTCAACTTATAGCAATCAATTGCAATGAAACATCGATAATATAATCCATTTTGCAGTAGTTGGCATCCTGGTATATATTATTTTTCTCAGCAATTTATTATGTGTAAATTCTTTCTTTGTTCAGATTTGTGCAAAAGTCCCCTCTTGAACATAAGTAAAGCCAAATCTTTTCTAACTAGAGAATTTCCAAACCTCTCTAGATGCTCTTTGTCCTCTTCCATGCTTAAAAAAGCCATCTATATCTATTGTTGTTTGTACAATAAATGTTCCTTTTACAGGAAATAGCTACTGGTAACTCTTTTTAAATGCATACAAGAGAGGACATCATGCTATGCAACATGGGGATGGATGAATTTTTAAAAAATCATCATATTAAAAGAGCTTAATAATAAATTATATTAAACTATTTATCCTTTATTATATTCTTGAAGCCAAAGGGGGGAAAGAGATAACAAATGGACAAAGAATCACTGTAATTTTAAAATCTGTCATTTTTGTCAATAGTAGAACAGCTTAATATACAGAATGCATATCAGATAAGACATTTACCTAGAATAAATGGGCCAAATTTATTTATTTATTTACTTATTAGTTTATCATTTGTCTTGCGTTACAAGGCAACACTGAGCAACTTACATGATAATAACATATATGGAAGTAAAAACAATTATAAAATATAAAAATGGATTAAAATTACAGAGTTTAAAACAAACTAAAGAACCACGAGTTTAGATCAGAGAGGTGGTGGTAGCCTTCAGCCAACAGTTTCCTCTTCAGGGCCCCATGCCAATAAGCACAGCCAATTTTTAAGACATTTCCTGAAGGCCAGAAGGTAAGGCGGACCTCATCTCCTGAGTCAAGATGTTCCAAAAGGCGGGGGTTGTGGCAGAAAAAGCTCTCCCTTGGACCCCTCCAGCTACAATTCATTGGGAATCCACAGTAGATCCTTTCCACCAGCAGGAGTGAAGTGGACCAATCCCCTTGGGGCAAGATGCCTCCTTAGATATCCTGGTCCTATGCCATAAAGAGCTTTCAAGACAATGACCAACACCTTGAATTGGATCCAGAAGCAAATTGGCAATTCACTTAAGAGCGATGTTATATGTGCTACCCAAGGGGGCCTCCAAATCTGTATGCACTGTTATATTCTGTATCAATTGTAGCTTCTGAATACTCTTCAAGGGTAGCCCCATAAAGTGCATTGCAGAAGATGGTTAAGGTTGGAAGAAAATGAAAGATGTAATTCTCTAGTAGAATTAGAGCTGACTACTAATAAGTTCCACGTCAAGTGCAGGAAATCAGGAACCAAGACAGTTTGAAAGAGTACAGGTTTATTGCATACCAACACTCTCTATGAGAAACTGAACTACTAATGTTCAAAGCAAATTGGTGGTAGATAAGAATCAACAGAAGCCAAGGTGGGTTGGACTTAAATATCTTGTGAGCATAAAGCACTCAAGATTGATGACACACTTGACCTTCTCCCTCAGTCTAAGCTTAGTCATTTCCTACATTCCATTTACCATCACAGCTAAATGGATTGTCCACCATAGATGACCCTCCCTGGGTTTGATTAACCTCTTCAGGCCAAAACCGAAAAACATTTTGTTTACAGTTCAAATTCAGATTCTAGGCCTTGCAATGATCTCACTGAAGTTCTCACCTTCATAAAGTTCTCTACCTTTTTAAACGAAACTCCTTCTGAAAACTGAGAAGCCAGAAAACAGTCTGAGAATAGTTTCCAAACGCTGATTTCCTCTTATCTTCCTCAATAGAAAAAGTTGAGTTGAGAAAATTAGTACCTAATTAAACTACTATTTTAACCTTTCTGGCACCAGGGACTGGGTTTTGGAAGAAAAGCTGTCTTCCACAGTCCAGAGGAGGGATGATTTCATGCACAACCTAGATCCCGTACATGTGCAGGTGAAACTTTGCTTTGTGCGGCCCGGGGGGTGGGGACCTCTGATATATATGGAAGTCACTGTTTCATGATTCTGGGAGTACCTTGATGTGGAGTTTATTATTCACTATCCCATTCTTGTTTCCACTGGAAAGATGTAGACCAAATGGTCCAGAGCTACAACCTTAAACTGCGAGAATATTGAGGTGATGGTTTACTTGAATTTTGTAACATAATAGGGAGAAGACTCATGTTAACTCTGCATCTTTTTGCCGGATGGTCTACTAATTCTGCCTCACCACCCTAACTCACCCCTCCCTACTTGGCACAAACATTATTTTTATTTCCTCATCAAAAAAAAATCCATTATTTTCTGAGTTGCAGAATATACAAATTGATGAGGCTAAACTGAAAAATCTAAGCGCAAAGAGTAGCATTTAGTAAACACACACTGTGCCATATAATTGTGAAGATTCTTATTTTGAAACAGTTTAGCAATTAAGTTACTTGGATTGGCTGAAATAATCTAGTACATTTCAACCTTAACATCTCTAGCCTCAATATGGACATTATGTAGAGAACTGTGAGATGGCATAATATACATAAGAATAAAATACTTCATACATTAAAAGGGTAATCATTGGCTGACAAACAGCATTTTGAAGGCATCTGATATCTAGTTTTATTTTAAGATTGATAGTACTGTAGTGAAAAAAAACGTCCTGCCCTTTATCATGTTGAATTCCGGGGTTTTTTTACTTTTAACATAACTTACGTAGCAATACAATACAAAAAAAGACACATTTGATGAAACTTCTTCTAGCATGCATTTTTCTAGCAACTACAAATCATAAAAACAATTCTACAAAGAATTATATTTTCAGCAACCATTTTACCTTTTCAGTTGCAGCATAGCAGGTTTTAGGACAATCTATTAGGGGGGAAAAGTCATGATACAATGTTTGAATCAACATGGAATGGACAGGTTAGATCAAGGACATAACCATTGTCACTCAAGCTGATGATGATCAAGAGTGAAATCTCACCTCTTGGTTCAGCTTGGGCTCACAACCTGAGTTTTTGTGGGTGAGCTGCAAGACTGCTAGTCAGCTTGTCATATCTAATAAGTCCCACCTTGTAAGTCTGATGTGCTGAAAAATCAGTATTGCTGATGTTAAAAGCTGGATTTTTGAAGACTTCAATTGAAACTTTCTCATCTTTTGCTGTTGGAGGGGGCGGAAAGCAACAAGGTCAAAAGTGTACCCAAGACAATGATAAGCAGAGCATTCCTTCTAATCCTTCATTTACTTGTGTGGTATCAGCATCAAATATCACCAAAATAGAATTAAATTAAAATTAACTCTTTATTAAAAAGAGTGGGGGGGACAACAAATGATTAAAATAATTACAAACAGCACTCTGACAAGCAAGAACAAAATTTTGCCTACAGCCATTTGTCTGTAATTATTTAATTAATCCTTACACAAATTATGAGCAATAACTCATCGAGCAAAGCTCAGCCATCAGAAAGTCAGACGACTTAGATTTCTTCTGCTTAGTTTGTTTCAGAGCCTTCTGTTGGAACTTCTGGAGGGAAATTGTTAAATGAATAAATGAGCTTAAGAATGTAGATCATCCTTTAAGAGCCATAACTAACACAGTATTTTAAATATGGGATGGCATTGAAATGTCACTTCATTTACATCTCCACTAAAGGGGTCAACTACTAACTGAACAACAGAAGTAGAAAAAATAAATAAGAAAAAGAGAAGAAAAGTAAAATAAATGCCAAACGAAGGTCACATTAAAATTCTTCATTTAAAAGAATACATCAGTTATATTTCCAAAAGAATCTTCACGCTTTTTGCATCTAGCATTTGGTAGATGTTTTATATAATATCTTAAATATATTTGTATTTCCTTTTCTTTTCACTGGGGCCAGTTACATTAAAAAATTTATAAATCAAATCAAAGAACTATTAATATAATGAAAATTACTATCTTTGAGTGAGAAGTGTTGTTGAAATAATAGGAATAGGCGGCAATATAAATTCAATAAATAAATAGATAAATAAATAAATGAACACTGTTTTGTTTTCTGATTTTGCTCAAAACTCCATGAAAACAGAGGACAATCCATTTAGATAGGATGTTAACATGAGATATTAACACATTATCTCACTGAGGCTCAAATGATATTGAGTGGGGTTCTGCTCTAATTGGTGAGTGGTCTGGTTTTTAAAAAAAATAAGAATCTGGAGATGGAATTAGCTAATTGTTTTCTCTACTTCTGTCTTACTATCACCCATTTCCAGAATCTGGAATGGATCTGTTGGGAGAAATATCCCAACATTGGAGGCTGATTGGAAAGAGGGTCTATTTATTGAAAAAACTGAAGCACATTGGTGGTTGTGGACAGCTGACCACATGGAGTTGAGAGTGAGGGGGGTATTTAGACCTTCCCTTGGGCTTTGCACTTGAGCTTCCTGTTCCTGTGCAAGAACATGTATTCTATTGGTTGTTGTCAGACTCCTGTGGTGCCATGTACAAATCGTAGGAGTTCATCTGAGCTACATTTGGTTGAAGTTTGGTCTGATGCAATGAAGGGCTTGTTGGGCAATTCCTATTGTGGCTGAAGGCTAATCCTACCTTTGTTCAGTCCTTGATGCAGGGAATTTTTGCCTATGACTAAAGCTACCTAGATCTCAATAAGCTTTTTATCTCTTAAGTGCTGACATCTGCTGAGGACTATTAAGAAAGGTGGGGGCTGCTTTCTGTCTCCAAGAGCATGTTTCTCAATTTCTCATCCAGGAAAATATAATATTCTGCCTTTTTTAGAATATTTCATTCTTCTAGTAGAGGGGTGGGTGCTAACCTTCTACACAAGCCATAGACATTTGGAAGAAAAAATGCTTGAAGTAATGCTATTAAGAGTAAATTATTTGCCTCTTTGTCTTTAGCATTTGTAGAGTAATAAAGACAGCTCACCCAAAGGAAAGTAGGCACCTTTAGGCACCCCTTTTACTTTGACATTTTCATAGTTCCCTCTACTCCCTCCTTCCATGATTGTACTGATCTGTTATGCCATCCATAGAAGACCTGGATATTGCGTGGGTCAGCTGAGAAGATATCTACAGACCTCACACATCCTGGACATAAACTGTTTCAACTCCACCCCTCAAGATGGTGCTACAGAGCATTTGCAGGCCAAGGCAACTAGACTCAGGGACATTGAAAAATAATCCTGAATTGCATAATGAATCATCAAGAATCAGTTAGTGACTTTAAGTAAAGTCTGCCACCATCTGTTGGAGGGGAAATAGACTACACGTTGCACTTTTCTGAATAAAATCATCCCTTTATCTAGGCCAATGTTTTTGAAATTGACTGTACTTCAGGATTTCAGCACATACTTTGCCAACCACTATGAAAATAGTGGTGATTAAAACTAGAGTATTCTGAACGCAAACATGGACTGTAAACATAAATGCATTCTGCATATTAACTTCACTGAATTGAAGCTTCTTACTGGGCCAGCTACTCCCTGGATCAGAAACATTATAGAAAATATGTCTCCTAGATTATATTGCTTTAAACTGATTAAAAATAAAATGCTTTTCTCATGAATCATTCCACTGAATTAAGGTAGAAACATGGTTACCCCCCATGAATCATTATGGTCAAGGGCTTGTTATGAAAAGCAGTTGCCTGTATTTTTCCAAATATTTTCAAAATACCATCAGGCTCACAATATTTAGTATCTTAAATAAGTTACAGTTGCCAGAATTTGTTTGCATAATTTCAAATCTCTACTTTTGAAAAACTCAAAACATTCAAGATATTGGTAATTTGATATATTAAAGCACTCGTTGCTTTCATAAATAAAATTAATCATCAACAGTCAATGAAAACTACATTTAAATAAGACTGATACTTAATTCCTGCTTACATATCATGTTGAACATTAGCTTTCATTTACAATACCACATTTTAAAATAACCTTGGTGTTTTATTTGCTCCAACTCGGTGAACCTTTTCTGATTTTAAGGCAATTAAGGCAAGGCCAATCTAGATTTCATTCAAGAGACCAATGGCTTGGATCTTTCAAGGGTGTTTTGGAACTAAAGCAAATGAGTCAACTCTTTCCAAATGTTCTAGGTAAAAATCTCCATCCCTGATTACTATTTGTCTCACCCCTGATAGCATGAAGAGCTATTTGTTTATTTTAATTGTAATTTTACTTGATAGATCAGGTAAATTTTAAATTTAATTTAAATCTAAAAAAAAATGTCGAACAGTAATGTGGGTGAGATTAGTTTGGGAGGATTAAGCCAAAACTCTTCACCAACAAACTATCTATCTGAATTAGGGCTTTTGTGGCTCCTATTTCTTTCTTTTTTTTTAAGTATTTGAAATTCCATTCATAAATTTACATGATTTTTCTTGTAGATGACGGCAGTGTTGACTTATCAAGGCTGTGGTCACATAAAATTAAACAGAAGTGTACTATTTTTTTCTGCTGAGTATATTTCTGAGTAGACACTGATGAAGTTGTAACCTTTATTATATTCATCTATAATTTTACTAGATGATGTTTCTAAATAACTGAACCAGGTATAACACTGAACTTAAAAACATACTTGGAGAAGTCTTGAGGACATTTTGAGGTTACTCGGTTAGAATGAAATTTTACTTGGGATAACTTAAATTCCTACCTCCAATCACCCAAGAAAGAACACAACAGTACAATTCTGTTTATCTATGTGTAGTTCTAATGCAATGAAATTGTGTCATCAACCTAAATAAGCTTTTACCAATACACAGACTTATCGCACAGGTATTGTGATGATAAATCTTCAATACCTGGATCTTCACCTCTTTGATTGACTGATGGCTTGATTAATTATGGGCTATAAAATTGGTCTTGACTTTAGTGACCATATGTTAGGTATGGCCTAACAAAAATGTTAGGTTTTTGTTTTCTTAATTAGGCATGGTATTCCCAGGAGTCTTCTCCAACATCAAAGTTCAAAAGCATCAATACTCCAACTTTTGTTTTCATAGAATATCATTATTTGCATGATTGTGATTTTTGTAGGCATGGAAACATCACAGTATCTGAATATATTTTTAAAACTATTCTATCAATTGCTAGTTTGCAGTTTATTTCTTGACTGCTTGTTCCTTTAAAGTTGTTGACTGAAACTAAAAGACACAAGCTATCTATTACTTCAAAAGATATTCAGACATGCATATTTATTTGATGCCACATCTACAAGACATATCTGATGTCACGTCCTTTTTAATAATTGATCTTTGCTTAGCTTAATATCCAAACTATGCACCAAGGCAATATTTTGAAATAATTTCATTTCAGCCATAGGTGACATTTTGCTAGGCTATAATGCAGAAAGCAATAATCTGATACCAAACTTTAAAATTAAGTATAATTCCTAGCATGCTGTTGTATTCTAATTCCAGCCACTCCTCAGTTAAAAAGTTGTTATTTACAAAAGTTGAACCTACCTATGCTATGGAGAAGAAAGGTGTGCTATTTGCAAGATGTTAAGTTCCAATTTGTTCCTGATTAGAGCTGAGTTCAACTCTGATCTTAATAAATACAGTCAGTTCACCTTTTGTGTCATTGCCTCTTCATAAATGAATAATATAAGGTGTCAGAAGTGAAGCTGAATTCCCATGCAGACTGGTGGCAGGCTAGAGAAACAATAGCTACCCTGAATTGCTATGAACTCATTTTGCAATAGAAAGACACTTTGTATGCAAAATCTAATAACATTCAGGTACTCAGATATCCAACAAAGTATTTTAAAGTGAACTGTTCTCATACCCTTTGTCCAGCAAATGTTATTTACTGGAGATGATTAACTACAAATTAAGGAATTTTTCCCAAATTTTTTATATATATTGTTCAAAAAAATAAAGGGAACACAAGCAGAAGACATCCAAGATTTGAATGAATGAAATAGCCTTATTAAATACTTTGTTCCTTACATACAGTAGTTTATACACTGCTCAAACAACTAAAGGGAACACAAAACTACCGTATGTAACGAACAAAGTATTTAATAAGGCTATTTCATTCATTCAGATCTCGGTTGTCTTCTGCTTGTGTTCCCTTTATTTTTTTGAGCAGTGTGTGTGTGTGTGTGTGTGTGTGTATGTATGTATGTATGTATGTATGTATGTATGTATGTATATATATATATATATATATATATATATATATATATACACACACATACATACATGTGTGTGTGTGTGTGTGTGTGTGTGTGTGTGTATCTTTATTTTATACGCATATGCTTTAACCTGATTTACTAATATACAATTGGAGTGACCTATAAGTTCCGCAAATAAACAGATTGAAGAAAAATGTGGAATTCAGTATACAGAAGATATAGCTTTACTTCCTATACACTGACATTACCCTAATATATAAAAGTTATTGTTTGTCCTAATTTTTTTTTCTACCATGACTTCTCATGTCATGGTAGATTGAGCCCTAGTGGTTGGACAGCAGTGATGGGGAATGAGCTTAAAATTTTAAGTGACACAGATTCAACCAACATCCAGAATATGGGCCCATTCAATTTGAAC